GGGGTGGGGGGGGCGGGGGGGGGGGGGGCTGGAGGGACAGGGGCGGGGGCTCTGGGGGGTGGAGGCCATGTGTGACAGGGGCTATAGGGTGCTGGAGAGCAAGATGTTCGTCCAGCCAAGAGGGTGGTCGCTTGCAGGGCGGGCAGGTTCAGCTGGAGGTTTCTCTCTCGGTGTCTGTCGCTGTCCCTTGGCTCCCCAAAAACCCCTCCCGAGTGGCAGAAGACAGGCTGCATCCCCTGGGTCTGCCCCCACCCCGGCCTGGGAGGAGGCCAGGGGCAGGGATGAGCCCTGCGGAGGGATGCGAATGGGTGCCCCGGGCTGGGCTTTCTTTGTGCCCCAGCTCCATCCCCATTGCAGTAACGTGAAATGCATCAAACAGCTCCTCCATCCTCCTTCAGCGCTGAGTTGTGGGCTTCGTCAGGCAGCGTCCCCGTCCTGCTGTGGCCACCCGGACCCCTGGGTGGGCAGGGTGGCGGGGGGCACTGGGGTGCCAGCAAGTCCAGGGCACCAAGGAGCTCTGGGGGTCAAGCCAGTTCTTTGCCTTGCTTTTGGTCAACGCTGCCTCTTGGAGCAAGTTCGTGGGAAAGAGCAGCAACAGGAAAGCACCGGGCTTTGGGAAAGGCTCGGAAGGATTAGCTGATGCTCGGAGCCCAGTGCTCACTGGAAGCAGCTCCCCAGGAACTGTGGGGAGCAGCCGTTGTTTTCCACACACGGGGTCCGGGTGTTTTGTTTCAACTGGATTGAGATTAGGAGCGAGGTGGCTGGAGCAAAGCCTGGCGTCTCGGAATCTGTTGTTACGAAATGGGATCGGAAGGGAAGCACGACAGAGAGCTCCCTGCAGTTTCGACTCCAGCCCAGAAGCGTTTCACTTCTGCTGAGGGGCAGGAACACAAAGCGCTTGGGTAAACAGACAGTGTATCTGGAAGAGTAAAATCTTTCTAGTAACATTATAAAAAAAGTTTATTAAATTCCACTCCTAGGGTTGGGCAGTATTTATCCTTTTGGCAGGAGGAGTGCAGAGGGGAGAGAGGCGCAGTGGAACATGTAACCAAAAAGTCTGCTGCAGTTGGAGACTGAAAGCTCTGGGGGCTCGATCCTTCCTTAAACCAAACCAAACCAGGCGCCGAGGCGAGCGGCTTCGGTGCCGGCGCGATCGGCGGCGCGGCGCTCCAGTGTGGTGCACAGGGGGGGTTTCCTGAACCGGGGGAGCCCGGAGACCCCCGGGAGCCCGCAGCTCGGGCGGCAGCGGCCGGTGAGACCCGGG